GTAAAAGCTCCTTTTGGGGTGTTCGGCATTTGAGATCTGTCTCCCAKTAAACACAGTTCTGGAGTCTGAGGGAYCTCCGAGCCAAGCCATGCACTCAYAACCTCCAAGATTTTAATCCAAAATGGTGAAACCAGAGAGCAATCCCAAAAACRATGCAAATATGTGCCCACTTCTTTCTTACATTTCCAGCACATATTGTTTGACATTATTTTCATTCTATGTAACCTAGTAGGTGYATGATAATATCTATGTAGCACCTTATACTGTACAAATTTACTTCTGGCCTCTTTCACATACTGTATTTACYACTCCCTGACAGTACCCTCAACCATCTTTCTTTTGTATACTCTTTTCTCAAATCTTTCTGCCATAGAAGTTTAATATTTGATGATTCACTACTCAGACTGTGACTTAGAAGCTTCTAAAATTGAGAGGCAGTGTGTTGTCCAGGCGGCATCTTGATATAATTCATTATATCATTTTCAACAATCTTTTTAAATTTTGAGGTAACACAAGGTCTCGTCTGTAGATATTTCCAAAAATTTGCTCTATACCTTCCAAATTAAAGGTGTGAGTAAGTTCACTGAAGGACATGAATTCATCCAGCCATTTTTCTAAACCATAAACACAAAACCCAATTTTCAAAGTACTTTCACAGAACCTCTGACTCTTCCTGCAAAACCAAACTACAGCCTCAAAATAGTTCATCAAGTGCTCCAGTGGCCACTTGGACTATTGCTCCTTTKACTCTTCATAACTCTTGGTATCCATCCAGCTTGTCGTTCTTTTTCTTCCTGGTGTTTCAGTCACTGATGATCTCTMMATCTATCACTGCTGCCTTCTTCTCTTGTTTGTCGACCACCRTGTCCAGCTGGTTAGCATCACCTGTTTGTCAGTCTGGATCAGRATGTCCCATGTATCTTAGGTGGTGACYCTCATTTTGACTGTGGACCTCCAGTCTATATTTTGCATGAATTATAGGCTATAAATAAATTATATGTACTGTTTGTTTTGCATACAAATCCATTACAACAACTAAAGTGTATCTATTATAGTACAGTGTTGTAGAGGTCACCTCGAGTCAAATTATCAAGGAACTATCTTGGACTCTCAGTCCTCTGATGGGCCTTCTAATGGACAAAAACTCTGTTCCACTTAGAACTGTATTTAGGCCACCCAAGGCCACTTTCCTTCTAAATCAGATAATAAACAGAAGAATCTTCTCTTATTTGATTTAGCAGTCTCTTAACTGAAAGTATTACGC